TTTTTTTTTCAAATCTACAGCCCTACAGTGAGAGAATTGGTCCAAAATTGCGTCTCCCAACAGCATGAATTGTGTTGCCAAAGGTTTGATTTCTGCTGAAAAGCAAAAGCAGACACCCTATAAATAATTAATGATGTAATGTTTATGTAATTGATAAATAATTAGATATGTAATTTTGATATTGTGATGTCAGTTAGTGAGATCGAAGAAAATAAACAAAAGTTGACAAATTTGGAGAAATGACTAAATTGTAAGGGATCCAAATTTCGGGGACTAAAATGTAAATACTTAAAAATTGTGCCGAACCTCAAGATGAAGATTTGAGAGTGCTCGGAGTCAATTGGATAAAGGAAGACGTCAATGGAATCAAATTTAATCAAAAGATGATCACAAATCAATTTCAAACAGAAAAGGTATGCGCCGATGTTTTAGTTTCATATTGAGACCTATTTTTGGCATAGAATGTGATCGAATTGGAGAATGATGTCTGAATCAAAGTTGTAGCCAGATGAGTTAGCTTTCCAACGCATTTTGAATCGTCTCAATCGGACATCGAAATACAAAGTTATGATAAAAATACTAAACGAAGGTGCAGCTGCCGGTTTAAAACAAGAAATTCCGTTACATAGTCCGTTAAAACAACAAATTCCGTTAGTTTTTCCGTTAAAAACAAGAAATTCCTTTACATTTTTCCGTTAAAAATAAGAAATTTCGTTACATAACCATTTTTAATATATAGAAGATATATATTTTTATTTTATTTTATTGAAGTTTTAGGTAAGATCGTCATTTGACACAAATTTATCTGATTTTTGGATCACATCCGAGTTGCCTGCTAATTTTTTACAAATTGAAGACAATTTAAAAAAAGTTTAAGGACACATGGTGCAATTTACTCTTTTTATTAGGTGTTTTTAACAGCTCCAGTTTAACCCCAGAAACCCTAGCCCAAGAACCCCGAGAAAATTCATCGTCTTCAATTGAAAATTTGGAACAAAATAATGTCGGATAGAGAAGAAGTCGACAGCGACTCCGGTGCTCCAGAGGAGTTTACAGTCCAGCAGGTTTGTCAACTGTAAAATCATAATGTGTATAATGTGAACGGAAAACTGCTTATTAAATTGCGTAACTTGTTCCTTTAATTTCAGGGAATACAACAGGACGAGGATATTAGGAAAGTCCAAAAAGAAAATCTAGCCCGGTATGAGACCTTTTTTTTTTTTAAAGCAATCGTAAATTTTCAGCTTACGAATTATATGTCGACGAGTATTGATAATGTGTTTTTTCCAGAGCAATTACAGTTAAAAGATGGACCTTTATGTTAATCTCGCATTGTGAAAGCGCGCTGCTGTTAATGGAACTCCAATTTGACGTCCAAATTATGCTGTCATGTTGTTAGATAACAAGTGAACAGAACTGATGTCAGAGTTTAAAACTGCTCGAGAATTTTAGGAGTTTCGATTAGAGATGTAAAATTGCTAATATTGATTAGAATAGCTGGGCAGGACTTTCACTTGGAACGTGTACCATTCTCCCATGGATTTAATTAATTCATGATTCGTTCCGTCCATGGTTTTGCTAATTGATGAAGTTTGAACATTAATTTGAGCCCCTGTTTGAACTTGTATATACTAAACGTTTCTCTCTCACTCACAGTCTTTGTCAATTAATTATGATGATAATGGGGTTTTAGGGGTTACTGTAGAACTATATTGTTGATTTTTCCTGATTGCTTGAGATTGATTTTCCAGCATCCTTTGAATTTTCAGATAAATGCCTTCATGCTGGTGGTTTTCATTATTTTTCGTTTAAACTCTATAGGGCCTTTTTAGAAAACTTCGTCAGAATCATATAATTGATGCTCTTACACGTGAATCTCCTCACAGTAATTGGTAGTGAGTATCCATATTGTATGTGACAAGAATGATCCTTTTTTTTTTTTGATAGGGTCGTTCGCGAAGGAAAACAACGTCGCAGAAAATGGGCCGAAAAATTGACTCCACGACCATCACGCAGAGATGGCAGCGCCAAAAATAAAACAAGTACTGAAGGAATGCTACCAGATGATATTGTCCAACATGTTGCAGCTATCGAGAAGGCAGTTAATAAGAAGTATGCTACCGTACTTTCTTTGTGATTCCCCTTTGCCCCAGGGTCACACATGTATTGCTGTGCTTGTTTCTTTAACTCGAGTTATTAACCAAGACAAGTTGTTTCTGCAGGAAAGTGTTCTCATCTGATTCTGAAGACGAGAAAGCTGAGGAGAAGAATGCTTCTAGAAAGAAAAAGACGAAAGATTATAGGTGAGTCTTGCCTTCCACTCTCTTTCTCACACACACAGAGGCTTGTGCACGTGTTTATGCATGCTTGTTCGTCTGCTCGCTCATAATAGATGAATTCCCTGCAGATGCGGTGCCTTGTAAGAAAATTTTCTCACAGGAAGATTAATTAAATACTTTTTTTTTTAATTTTTTTATTTGACAGGCTAGATATTGCTATGTTAAACGACCGGCCTGCTCAATGCCCACAAAGTTCACTGGACTTTTTGAAGAAACGAAAGATGCAGGTTGCGAGATCTTCTGCTGTTTTGAACAATTCAAACCAAGCATTACGCTTCCTCTCCTCATCTGGCTTGCTCAAAAAAGATTGGAGATGAATGGCTGTACACTTTACTATGTAATGATATGAAATTTTATTCTAGCGTTTCCTGTTGGCCACATCACAAGCATGATTCAGTAAGATGTGCAACTCCAGTGGTTTAATTTATTTAAGCGATTAGAAAGGGGACACATTTTACTATGTTGATCACCTCATCTAGAAAGATTGAATGGTCATAGAGACTACATATTTTATTTTTTAAATTTAGCTCATGTTTGGTTTAAATAAAAATCAGATTTTTAATATATTTTAATAAAAGTTGATAGAATGTGTGGTGTGAATTCCATAAAATGTGTGAATAAAATTAATTGTTGACTTTGGTTTATATTTTAATTTTTATTTTTAACTGAACCAAACAGAGTCTTAGTTATGAACAAATAGTTTAGAGTTGAACTTGCCTGATATCTGAACTAAAGGAATACATAAATAGGATTCGGTTCTGCTACAAGTACATCAGAAGCTACATAGGGTGTCCATAATGGACACTCGGCATCCCCCTATTGGATGAAGTGTCGATGGGGCACTTCATCCCATAAGAGAGTGCCCGGCATCCCTCTATTGGATGAAGTGTCGGTGGGGCACTTCATCCCATAAGAGAGTGCCGATGGACACCTTTATGTACCCCCGATGTACAAGAAGAATAATCCAATAGAATTTGTGTTTTCCTTGTGACAGATTGACATTGCGAAATGGTAACCAGTTTTGTCTCGATACATCCAACAAAAGCCTCAGGTTATAGATTGTTCCAAATAAGCATCCATTCTACATTTGCAATAATTAGGCAAAATATTATTTTTAGTCACTTTACAATAAATTATCTTGTACTTCCCTATGTGCATCTTATTTAACTTGTACTCAACTTTAAAAGTGATCTCACTTTGAGTTTCCAACAGACACCAAATAAAAGGTGCAATTGATTGTAAAATTGTAATATGATGGTTTAAATTCAAAAAATTTGCAACTGTAGTGATTCTGCAAAATCAAAGAGAAGGACTGGGTAGTAGAGATTCTTGGTTGCCCCTTTGTTGCGTCGGACCTGAATGACCATACTGTTGAAGGCCTTTGTTATGTGGAGGATAAAAAGTGTCTTCTATGAGAAGAATGAATAAAATCTGCACGTTGGATTTCCGAACTCAAAATTTGATCAGCTTGGATTCATTAAATGAAAATGAGTTTGCGAGATAGGGATATGAAATCATTTGCCAGAAATGGAACTCGTGGAGAGAAACTTCAAGAGTACGTCTGGTGTGCTTTACTGAATGAAGTTACTCAGGAAGCTTCACATTCTAGGGTCTTTACAGTTGGAGATTATAGGATAATTTTGATATCATCTAGACAAATCAAGATACTCAGTATGAGAAAATAATGAAATCAATGCTGTAAACAAATCAACTTTTAATTTATTTCAACAAGGCAAACCAGGCGGTCATTTAACGGAGATATAGCCTATCTTAAACGTCTTACAGTGCCAACCAAGACAAACCTTCTCCCCCAACACTCCACTTCTAGCTCCAACAGCCACCATATTCACTTCGCAGTCAGCACCAGAAGGAGAAATTGTGAGTCAGGAGAAATTATCACACTGTTCAAGCCATTTCTCGGTATAATCTGATACTTCACCAGCATCCTCTGGTGCCCGAATTGCCTGGAAAGTGTTCTTAACCTTGTTCAATGTCTTATAGTACCAGATACGCCTGAGGACGACGTCTTTGTCGAGTCTTTGGGCAGAATTTCGAGTCGAGGATGATTTGAGAAAGAGCTGGGTGGTGACTGAATCCAGGGTTTCAGTCTCCTCGCTCACCTTCTCTGATGGCGGGTTTTTGGATATCATAAAATCCATTTCTTGCAAAGACAAATTGTAATGGCAAGAGCAAGAAGCGGTAACAACATTTATAGAACTGCCCAATGTTTTCTGTGGGCATTAGAAGTTAGTACATATATTGTTCTTTAGTACCTTTTAAGTTTTGGTCCCAGGTTTATTTTTTGGCAAGTGGTTTCACCCTCAAATGCCGGCTTGGCTTTTAGTGCTTCAAACTAATTGTTCACGGAACGGTGATGGTGATCATCATCATATTCATATTCATATTCACAATAATAATAATAATAATAATAATAATAATAATAAGGATAAATATATTACCCTCATAATTATTGTCTGTCCCCAATATTTTATAAATACACCTCAATTAAAAAATCTTTTTAGTAAATATACTACAAATATTTTATTTTTAAAAATATAGCTCTCATTTATTAAAAACAAAATGATACGGTACTATTTTTTTTTCTCTCTCCTCGAACAGTCGAAGAAAGATTTAAGTGGATTTGCCCCCCGGGGCACATCCAAGTTGGCAAAGGATGGACACTGCTGGGCTTGCAACCTCAGGGTGGGGAGTTCGATTCCTGGATGGAGCAGCTGAGCGTTGTAATACTCAATTTGGGTGGAGTAGCTTGGTGATGTAATATCCATGGAGGAAGGCTCCCTTGGGGCCAGGAGTATAAAGGGTGCACAGACCCTGGTCAATTTGGGCATATCCCACGATTAACCTCCACCCATCAGTGAGGGGCCGGGGATGGGTGGTCCAGGACATAGTCTAATGTAAGTTAGGATACCTGGATATCAAAAAAAAAAAAAAATAGAATTAAGTGGATATTTGTTGAGAGTTGTACGACCACTAGTATATCTATGGAAAAAAAGTGCTTATTTTGAGTTACTTATAAGTTGTGTGTTTGAAAGTGAAATGATGACGTATGCCAGGAAACAGTGGGCTGCTTAGCAGTTTGCAGTTCAAACCAAGGGGCTTAGCTTTATCCTCTTAACTCCAGACCCCAAAAATTGGGTCCATTAGCCCACAAATCAGTAATGGGAAAAATTCACTTTCCCTACTTTATCTTTACCCTATTTCAAAAATAACAAAACAACTTTTATATTTCAAAAATCAGAAATTTTGACCTATACATACACATATATATATAAATATTTATTTATTTAAATATATAAAAAATATAAATAAATAAATAAATAAATAAATA